TAGATGAAGGTGAAATCCCTTGTTCTTGGAGGATTTATTGGTCCTATGAAGAATATGTGGTCCATTGGATGGTAAAAACATTCCAAGATGTCCATACTTGCTTCACGGATGGAAGGTGCAAAATATTCTCAGATGCTCATATTGCTAGGATGTTTATTAATGAAGTGAGGGATGATCCAGATATAAAGCCAAAAACAATGTAAGAACACATTCAGTTGCGCTATGATTTAAATGTGACAGACGACCAATGTCGGAAGGCAAAGAAGAAAGCACTGGATCTCATTCAAGCCGAGCACGACGAGCAATATCGGAGGATTAAAGATTATGAATTGAGATTACCCGGTATGTAATCTGTTTTTTATCATCATTACTAATGTTTTTCTTAAAATCTTTTTACATTATTGTTCGCAGGACAAATATAGGGTCAACAACTGATTTACAGACCGTTATAGTTGCGGGTGGACTTGAAGTCTTCGATTGATTCTATGTCTGCTTTGCTATTTTACGTGATACATGGCACTCCCACTGTCGGCCATTATTTGGCATAGACGGTTGCTTCCTCAAAGGCGGGAGAAAAGGACAGCTACTTGCTGCAGTTGGAAGGGATGCAAACAACCAAATCTACCCTCTTGCTTGGGCGGTTGTACACAAAGAAAACAAAGAGACATGGGTTTGGTTTTTACAGAAATTGAAAGCTGGTTTTAATCTTAGGAATGGTGATGGTTTCACCCTTGTATCAGATCGCCAAAAGGTATTTTTTACTCCTCATTTTTTTTTAGATTTTGTTGCTGGTTTCTAATAGGTTTATTGCTTGGCATTAGGGATTAGTTATAGCTGTTGATGAAGTATTACCACTTGTAGAGCACCGAACGTGTGCTAGGCATATCTACGGGAACTTGAGGAAGCTGAATCCCAACAAACCTGAAATGAAGAAGCTATTTTTGAGTGTTGTAGAGAGCCATAATGAGGCTGATTATAAAGAAAATTTGAAAGCTTTGGAGTTGTATGATGTGGACGTGTACAAAGCTTTGATGTGTAGAAGGCCAGAAAGTTGTAGTCGGGCTTTCTTCAAAACGACTTGGGCTTGTGAAGATGCTCTGAACAACAATTAAGAATCTTACAGCACACTTGAGAAAGCAAGAGCAATGCCTTTGGTGAAGATGCTAGAGACGATGCGCCGACAATAAATGCTCTGTATCGATCTTAAAAAGAAGAAAACCGAAAGGCATAAAGGGAAGTTCAGTGAGAAAGTTAGTAAGATGATTACATCGGAGACAAGATTTAGAAAGTATTCTCGATCTCTCCCTTCATCTGGTGGTGAGTTTGAAGTCTCTGAGGGTGCCATTTCTTATGCTGTTAATATGAGAGCATGGACATGTAGTTGCAGGAGGTGGGATTTGACTGGCATTCCATGTAGGCATTCTCTGCGAGTGGTATTAGACCAGAAGAAGACATATAAAACATATAATTTAGTGTCTCATTGGTATTTAACTTCAACTTGACAGAAGCAGTATGCATATTCTATCAAACTAGTGAGAGGAATCAAGTTTTGGAAACCTTCCGGTGAATCAACCATTAATGCTCCAGCAAGACCTGTATCAAAAGGCCGAAAAAAGTATCCTGAAAAACGAATTAAGGGAGTTAATGAGTCTCCAACGAAGGGGAAAAGGTAATGCAACACAACTGTGTTATGCATTGCTCTCGTTGTGGTATGCCTGTTCATAGCGCTACTAAGTCTCCTAACTCCGGAGTTCCGATCAAGCCTCGACCACTGAAGAATAAGAAGCCTACGCGAGAACCTGAAGAAGTGATGCTAAATGTTGGTGAAGGACCGATGCAAACTCAGCCATCTTAGACTTGATTAGTAGTAATGTATTGCGTTTGTGTTATTTCCTTGTTTCTCAAAAGACATATGTTTTTCTGCTGAAGCAGTTATGTTTTGTTCCTTTAGCTACTCGTTGGTGTTCTTTGATACTCTCAGTATGTTATCTGAAAAAGTTTAGGTTATTCCTACTTTTATATGATTTTTTATGCTTTTGAACTCAGCAAATGACTTCCATACTAATTACAGAATTGCAGAGAAACAAAAACAGAATTGCAGAGCCCATAAAGAAGACGACTCTGTTTCAGTTTTTAGATAAAATGTTAATGACTCAGCAGCTGACTCAGATTCGTTACGGTGATTTAGACACCGTTTAGGTCAAGGCATGAATTAGCCATTGACGTTGTTCTTCAGGTTTGTATTTCAAATAGTCTAGGAGTGTAGGCCTGTTTTAGCACGATGATAAACTATAGGTATGAATCTTCCAGGAATTATTGGTGCAGGCACGAATTAGCTGTTTCCCCCTTCCGGGCATGCCCCCGAAAAGTCAAGAAAAACTTTTGTCTGAAAGGGGGTTTAAAGAAGAGTCCTAGAATTATCAGACTAAATCTAATGGCGATCAAAACTCCCAGGCAACGGTGCCAAATTTGATATCACTCAAATTACCCCAAAAAGTGACTTACTCTCTCAAATAAGACGTTCAGTTGTAGTATTTAGAGATCAAATCCACAAGGAGCTAGAGAACCAAATAATCTAATCAGAGTGAATAGACTAGGTTGGTTTATGAAATTAAAGTAAATAGCAGTGTAGTAATCCTAATTGAGCAAGGCAGTTGCTCTACTAAATTGATTGAAGGATTGAACCTTCATTGGAAAGGTGCTAGACTTAGGGTTTTTATTCAGGTATCAAGGATTATAATCCTATATGTGCTAATGTATGCATGATATTAAAGAGCTCAACTACATAATAACAAACTCATCAGCGTTCACCTTATTGAATGAGTATATTAACTAGATCTATTGATCCAAACAAGTATGTTCGATCAATAGCAGTGTCGATCGATTACTCTAGATAAATATTGATTGATACACTTTTCACTACGTCGATCGATTTTCCTTTTGCGATATCGATCGACGCGCTCCTAGTAAAGCTTTATGTGCAAGTTGAACGATGCCCACTAAAACACCTATATCAAGTTCTCACTATACTCTAGCAAATCTTAGCTTAATAGAATAGATTCAGAACAGTGGATATTGTTTATAGGTTGCGCAAACAATCCAAATTCCTTAACTCAAGTTTCTAGGTAGCAATTCTAGAACAAGCATTAAAAACATTCTATTAATAAATATCACAACTAGAAATCCATAGTTTGGGCTAATCCCCTTAACCTATTTAAACCCTAAACCTAACAAGTGAACTACTCGGACATGGCTAAGCAATTCATAACACAACCAAGGTAAATATAATATATATTAGATAGATAGATAATGGAGTTTCCATCACAAATCTCTCTGGAACTTTTCTCCAACTATAAAAATCCTAAAAAGCTTTTACTGTGAAAAATAAGAATATAAAAAAAGCTCTATTTGCCTAAAACACCATAGCAAAGTATAAGTACTTAGGTTAAAACTCTCAAGGGATAATCTTGTAATTTGGTGAAGTCTTGGGCTTTAAGTCGGCTAGGTCACGAACTGGCCTTGCGCGCTTTGGTATCAAGCGATATCACACAGTGTGCATGGATCGATTTTATTCATTCCATGTCGACCTAATGTGTTGTTCGATATCCAACTCGGGTGAGTTTTCTATTTCTCTCCAAAATGCTCCAAAAACATATTTCTTCCAAAGTACTTCTGAACCTATAAATATGCTTAAAATACTCTATAATATAGTAAATAGATATTAAACACTTATATACCATGGTTAAAAATTGGTCAAATTCATGGTATATCAAAAAGTTAAATAAAAAACGTGACTTTGAGAAGTAATAAGACATATGGAATATAAGATTCGTGATAGAGTGAAGATTACCATACCTTTTCATTCAATAAGAGGAGGGTGATTCCCATAAATTCATTGTTTTCTAATAGTGAAATGAAAGTCCATCAAAATCGGCGACCTTGTTGAGTGAGAGACGGCTGATTGATCAACAGAAGAATCGGTGGATGACATTTTCGAGGCTGAGATAATTTGTGACAACTCAAAGAAGCTGTAAGTAGATATGATGCACGACTCCCGATGAACTTTATATATGAGAGAAATTTGATGCAGTTATAAAACCCTACCATTGATGGTCATAGTAAAGATTGGGAGATGTTGCGATAGAGGAAGATAAACAGACTATCAATTTAATTTTGAAAATATAAAAGTTATGTATTTGTTTGTGAGGACTGAGGAGTGTTGCTCTTGGTGAAGAAACACTAGATCTAAACGGAAGAAGAACATAAGACAATTAACATGCTTCTCTTGACAATGGGCACAATTCGGATTTATAAATGGGCAACGATGCATCATAAAAAGTCCACAAAACTATCATCAATAACACACTTTACAACCAATAAATCTGTTATGAAGTAAAAAAAAAATCCCAAAATTTATATGCAAACCCCATTAACATTTGTTATGCTTACGTTAATAGGTTTAGGAGAGAGTAAAAACTCTCCTGGCTATTATATATATGATTACTTTTGATAGATTAACACATGTTTAGAAACAACAAATGAAAAATAAAGAAACATAAAAGTCGTAAACAAAATTGTACAAATATGTTCCTTCTTTTTTTTGTTCATTATAAAGTAGACTCTCTCATTCGGTCACTTAGAGCACCTCTATTGAGGATTTATGGGGGAGTTCACACGGAAATAAAAAAATAATAATAAAATAACAAAAATCCATGAACTTCTCTCTCCTAAAGCTCTCTCGGTTGAATCTCTCTCATAAAGTTCATCACTGTAGCATGGGCCCCACGATACGTGGCGGCCCGTGATTGATCTAGTTTTTTTTCTTTTTAAAGAAAAATCAAAAAGAAAAAGAAAAAAATTTAATAGTAAAAATTTGAAAAGATAAATCCGAAGAGCGAGTTTATTGATGGGATGCTCAGGGAGTAAAACTGTAAAAGCCCCTTCAATCTGTTTGCCTCAGAAAAATCAGACTATACAAATTTTGACATTCCATGTCAGCATTATCCTCATGCACAAGATTTTCTAGAGTATTCTTAACCTTACTCTCAATCAGAAAACAAATACCAAAATCTACACTTTTTCGGTTCACCAAGTACAGAGTTCGCGATGACAGCAGTAGCCTCCGGCTTCGTATCTTTTTCGCCGGCGCTGCATCTGGTGAGACAAATCGACCAAGAATCATCAAATCTCCTTAAACAATCTGATTTCTAACAATCTCTCGAATTCAATACATTTTTTCAGGCCAGATACAGACGGTCATGTCCCAACATTCGAACTCGGTCTCCCGTGGTTTCAGCATCCTTAACCCAAATCGAAGTAGACACAATAACAACAACAACAGGCCTCTATTCAACTATTGTCTCCTCAAAACCAATCTCGAAGGCCTTGCATAACATATCTCTAGCAGATCTGGATCCAGGAACCGCGAAACTTGCGATTGGGATCTTGGGTCCTGCCTTATCAGCTTTTGGCTTTCTCTTTATTTTGAGGATTGTTATGTCTTGGTACCCGAAACTTCCCGTTGACAAGTTCCCTTACGTTTTGGCGTACGCTCCGACCGAACCGATCCTTGTTCAGACGAGGAAAGTGATTCCACCACTTGCAGGAGTCGATGTAACCCCAGTTGTTTGGTTCGGGCTTGTGAGTTTCCTTAGTGAGATTTTGGTTGGTCCACAGGGACTTCTCGTTCTTGTTTCTCAACAACAAATTAGCTAGAAAATCTGAGAATCATACTCCCTAATACATTTGTTTATCTACACTCTGTTGGTCTCTGTTGATGGTATCCCTTTGACCTTTGTGTATGTTTTGATCATTACTCCTCGAATTCAGGGCATACATGTTTTGAGATTTGGCCCATTTCATATTTGTATCCCGATTGTCTTTAAGCTTTAGTGTTGTCTTTTAAGCATTTTGTTTAAAATCATCATCTAAAAGTGTAGTCGATTTTCATATCTAGCATTTTGTCCTAGATGTGCTGGTCCAGTGGAGTCTCGATTAATCATCTTCTTTTTGAATGTTTCCCAGCCTTACAGGTTTAGGCTTTATCGGACTATCCGTCTATTCCGGATGACTTCCTGAGTACATCTTTATACCAAAACATTAACTTTCTGTTTTGGAAGCGAAAAGAAGTGGCTCCCTCGAGACCATAATTCGATACCTTTCCATGGATCTGCTGGTACATTTAGAAGGCAAGAAATGACAAACTCTTTAATGGGAAAGTCGTATCTCCGACAGACACAATTCAACATGCTTCCGCTGAGGCTGAATGTTGGAGAAAAGCTAATGAAAAAAAAAGAGGTCAACGAAAAAGAGTCCTCCCCTCTATAGAGGTGGAGTCAGACCCACCTTGGATACCCTGAATCCTGACATGCCAGATTGATGCTTCTTGGATTAATAATGGGAGTGTTAGTGGCATAGGGTGGAGTCTTAAGGACCATATGGACTCTGAGTTTTACGGGTTAAGGGCATGCAGAAGGAGTCTCTCAGCTCTACATGCTGAGATGGAAGGTCTACTTTGGACGCTCTCATGTATGAGAGATATGAGGATAACCTCGATACAAATCGAGACAGACTGTTCGGATCTAATAGACATGACTACATAACCGATGAATTGGCCGACCTTCACGACAGAGATTGAAGTGTTCTAGAGACTACAAGAAGACTATGAGAATATGAGCCTGGATAAAAAAGTGTTACAATAAAATATGTTACATCACAACAAAAGCGCCACATATAAGAGTTCAAGAGTGATAATAATATACCATAGAAAATATTATAGCAGTATAGACGAAAACGTCACAATAACTACATTTATCATGGCGTATGAAAAACTGCTACTATAGGTGAGGGGTCTATTATAGCAGTGGTTAACATAGTGTTCATAGAAACACTACAAAAACCATATCATAGTGTTTTCGGTGTGCTAGTAATGCCAATATTTCTTTTAGTGTAGTCGGAAAATCAAATATGAACTCTTTCACGTTCTTCTCAGCATCATCTACAATTCAGATCATGAAAAACAAAATCAGCTCCGACCATTGGTCAAGGAAAGCGGTCATTGTTAGGGCACCATTAGCTAATCATCTACACAGTTCCACTAGCAATAGAATTTCTTTCTTAGTATAATGGCCACCTTCTCTTTTACTTGCTGGGAAGCTCGGTACGTCAAACGCAGTGGCGAGTTGTGGGTTGTTAGACTCCTACTCGGTGTCCAGGTAGTCAGTTCTTAAAACTCATGAACAACTTAGTTTTGAAACAGAATCCGGCGTACAATCTCAATAATTTGTATCATAATGTTTATTTTAATTATTTCGCATTTCGTTTTTTATCATGCCTCCTGTAGCTCATCTTATTATAATTGTATCGAAGTGGAGGATGAAGATGATTGTTTCCATTGGGTATGGTTTGCTTTTTTGTTTGTCCTTTTTATTAATTAACAAGAGAATAGTTGAGTTTGCGAGTTGTTGCATGCGAGGATGAAATATAAGCATGAAATGGAATATCACGATTTGGACTGCTAATGGCTATGTTGTAAGTTCAAGAAATAGATAAACAAAAATTCCTTACTTATTGGTCTCAATTCATTAAACTTTTATTTGTTCGATATAGGCCGTGGTTACAAGGTTCTAACTTCAAGAAATACAGACACATTCCATCTCTCAGATGAAAATCAGGTTGAAAATGGCCAAAGAAAGAAGTTATATTGACATGTAGATATTATTAGAAAGTTAAATGTCCCATAAATATGTTTAATTTTCTCTTAGTTAATTATATTTGGCTGTTACCTTTAAATCCATGTTAGTTTTCAATTGTTTAATGATACTCTAAAAGAAACATTTAAAGTTAATTTGATGTTCTGAAAAAATATTTTGGAAAACCAACCTAAAAACTAACTAAAAATACTCACCCCGTTTTATATTAAGTGTTACAATAGAAAATTTATTTTGTTACAAAATAAGTGTCGTTTTTGGTTTTCAATGCAAAATTTATTAATTTTATTATGTTATTTTTTTTCTATTGCTTTAAATATTGTTAGGTGTAAAGATAATTGTGTTTTATATAAAAATATGTAAAATTAGTTGTTTTTTTAATCCGTGTACAAAAAGCTAAAGTGACACTTATAATTAAACAGAGAGAGTATGTTTTAAAATATAGAAATACTTAAAAATTCGTATTTAACAAAACAAAAACTTGATATAAAAACTAAAAACTATCAGACAATTAGCTTGATATTTTGGTTAACTCTAACAAAATATAAAAAGCATTTTAATATATCTTAAAAAATCAAATCTTCTATTATCTTTTAATACAAAATGAAAATCAGTATAAAAAACTAACTTAACTATTTGGAACACCTTATCTCTAATATGTCTAAGGCTGTATTTTGAAGTTGGAGTTGATTGAATCTTAGTAAATGCAGATAGTGAATATCAAATAACTCCAAACTGAAGTTAGAGTTGGTTATACCTTTGTATAATAACCCTTTTAGCATGCATTAATGCCCTTTATAACAATTAATTAGAGTTATAAACATAATTATATGGAAATTGTTGGATAACCGAAGTGTTGGCACCGGGTTTATGAAAAAAAGCCAAGAGAACGGACAGTAAGTTAGCATACTGACGTACACTTGAATAAGCAAAACAAATGAAGACTTACAAATGAAGAAACTGCAAATAATTTTTAAATTGTCTGACGACATATATTTTTATATATGCTCTTACATATATTCATATAGATACTAAACATATAAATAAATTCAAAATTATAAAAAAATCTCGGGCGTAGCCTGGGCCAACTCCTAGTATGATAATAAAATCAAACCACTTCATTCATCGTTAGAAGATTTAAAATTAAATACTTCAAATCGACATATTTTAGCCACTCCTTTTAAACTGGGGCTAATAAAGACAATAAAGAACAAGTACTCATGCAAGACATTAAATCAGTATGCCAACATAACAATTATTAAAGTCAATTACTCTATACGATTTCTAAACAAATAAATAGTACTGATAATAAAATAAATACCAACGAATGTAATAAATTAGAACAGAACACTCAACATCCGTTCTCATCTACAACTTACCCAATTTTTAAAACTATAAAAAGACAAACCAAATTCCCTGAAAATGAAATATTAAATCAATTGGAACTAGTATCAAAAACAAATATTTTCCAGATGGCAAGAAATATTATCACTCTTTGATTTTGATATTCAATATATTACAGGAGAAACAATTCTTTACCATATTTTCTAACAAAAAAATATTAATAGGAAAAAAACAAACAACAAGATATTAAAGATGAGTGATCAGAAAAATCCAATGACAGCATCAGACTTTATCAAAAACCAACATCACCTACAAAGGAAAACATTAACCCCAAATCAAGGGTCCTTTTTGTGGCCCATTGGGTCAGGATCCATTTGAAGTTTGAAAAACAAAAAAAAAAACGTAAAAATAATGTCTAGATTTATTAGATTTCTAGATTTTAGTTTTCAAAATTTTTTTTGACAAAGTATTTTAGTTTTCAAAGTATATTTTGGTAGACTTTGTACATTATTTATGTATTTTACTGTTTAATCTACTATTTTTATTTTCGTATTACTATCTACAAAATAATGTATATTTATATAATCATTCCACGACCAATGCTAGGCAATCATCACCAACAAGTTATTCGGCAAAGATAGGATCCACATGAAGACTTTTGAATAAAAAAATCTCAATAGCAGCCCACTCAAAACTTTCTGCACCACGCAAGCCTCAAAAAGTATTAAACGAAGTGTCAGCACCACTAAAAACCGACACGTTGCAAGACTCTATTCAACCAAGCTTCGGTTATAAAAACACGCATTGATTTTCAACAAGGAGGACACAAGCGGATATCTCTCTCTCTCTCTCTCTCTCTCTCTCTCTCTCTCTATCTCTCTCTCTATCTCTCTCTCTCTTGAAAGCTCTCCCCTCTCTCTTAAAATTGTTTGAAAGCTCTCCCCTCTCTCTTAAAATTGTTTGAAAGCTCTCCCCTCTCTCTAAAAATCTCTTACAAAAAATTTCTAAGTTTTAAATTTTGTAAACTTGTATCATCAAAACTTGTATACCAAGTCAAGATCAATAAGAAGTAGGTTTAATCATTACATGTGTTCAATTTTCAAGTTAAAATAATATTAGAAATTTGATTAATCAAAATAAAAAAATAAAAAATAAATAGAAAGTAGCAAAAATATATTTTAAGTTGAAAGTAATAAAATAGTACTGGTAACTTACGGAGACGAATCCAAATCTGCACGGGTTGGGATATTTTTGTGAGATTTAAGAAAATTGTATGCTAATATATGACTATATACAATTTTATCATATTATAAAGTGTATATTTTATAAATTTTAGATTTATATAAATTATATAATTTTATGTCAATTATAAAATATAACATTATACTATTTGAAACATAATAAAGTGTATATATAATATTCAAATTTATCTGAACTATATAGTTTAGTACTCCATCTGTTCGAAAATTAATGATGTTTTTGAGATTTTTTGATGTTTCAAAATAGTTGATGTTTTGATATTTTTATATTAATCTTAATTTTATTGAAAATTGTGTGACCAATGCAATGATGTTTTATACACATTTTTAAGGTTGGCTGAACTAGTTTTGTTTATATTTTAATGTTACTTTTTAGGAAAGAATGTATACCTTAATTCTTGTGCATACACCCAAAACATCAAGTATTATGGAACGGAGGGAGTATTACTTTGTAACCGAACTAATTCATTAATATTTCTTTTATAAATTGAAGTATTACTTTTATACATATTTCTCATATAAATAGTATACTGTTATATAAGTATGCTTTATAAATTTACAATGTGATATTTGTAACATATTTATATGATCATTTTGTTAATTCAAAATGATTTAAAGATCTATAGTGGGATTTATCAAAAAACCTTCGAGATTATCTGGTCTCAACAGGCCCCAAACCTGGC